AACAACCTAGCTTATAAATAGCCTTACAAAATAAATAAAAGCAGAGAAATGTAGCCCATCTTTAACAAACCTAAATACGAGGTCAATAACTAGAAAAAGATCAAAATAGCACATCCCTTAACAGTAGGGAAAGCAAAACAGAATACAAAAACTGATTAATAAACAAAATACTAATAACTTTGACAGTTTGTAACTATAATTTTTATAAGTTCACTGACTGGATGCTAAATGTAGCCGCTAAAGATGGGAAAGAATAATCGTGAAAATATAGAGATTTTGGTTGAGCTTATTTCAGGCTTTTGGGAGTATCTTTGAAATATTATAAATTTTTTAGATTGATGGTTCCTCCTAGTATTTATCAAAAACAAATTTTGATGGCAATAAATCACAACTTTAAGTAGGTCTCATCCACCGAATTCAGGAAAAAAATTGTGTAGATTTTCCCTGGGGTTAAGTGGCCTTGAAGCTATTCATCCCCACATTTAAATGCACTGTGGGTTCATTTCTTCAACAAAATCTCCTAATTAAATTTTATATGATTTTGTCTCTATTACTTTTGGTGTGTTTCATATTTTTGTCAGATTTTGATGAGGGTAAATAGAGTTGTTGGAGAAAATTAGAACACCGCGATAACAGACTCCAAAGAGAATCTAATTATTGAATATGTGACCCAAATTACGATGTTGGTTCATGTTTCAATTGAAAGAATTAAAGAGGGATCAAAGTTTACAATTGAGAGTTTGGAGCAGTATCTAGGCACTTGGGTACCAAAATGGGGCACCTTGTTTGGTCTCTTGGATTTTGAGATCGAAACTTAGTGCCTGAGCACCACTGGCAGTGTTGGACTGCCGCTCAAGCGATAGCTTTATTTGGAAAAAATTATTTTCATTTTTCTGGCTCATTTTATATTTTTATTTTCCCATCAAAAACATATTCTTTTAGGTCCTATATATATTGCACGAATTGTATGGGTTTTATATACCTTTGTATGAGTTATAATAAAGTTAGAAACACAAAATTTTGTATTCTCTCTCCATATTATAATAAATTCTTTATTCCTCTACCAATTTGTTTTGTTCTTCCTATGTTATGATCGTTACTTCAAATCGTGTCATATATCTCACTTCCTTTAACAAGTGGTATCGCTGTTGGCATACATATAAGGCTATCAATGGATTAAATTTTGATTTGAATTCAATAAAACTAATGGGAGTCCATTAGCTAAATGAAACAAATATGGAGATAAGTCAATCTGATCTGATAACAACATGATCCGATTTGTTATAATAATATAATATATTTTTTATATTATCGTATAATTTATTACATATAGTTTTTTCATTTTGAAACTTTTATTGTACTCTACACATAATTTTTAAATAATAAATGATATTAGATAATAGTATAATATTGTTAATTGAAATATTAGGAGAGTTTTTAATTTTTTTAATTAAAATAAGATTAAAAAAAACTAATTTATTAATCTTATAAATCAAACAATCAAAGAAGCCAACAATTGGAGCTCCTTTCATTGGGTAAAAAAACTATATGAACCTTTTAATTATAGGGCTTAGAAGTTTACTAACATAAATTTTTTATCTTTCTAATTTCTTCAATTTCGGATCGAATATCCGATAACATAGCAAATTGAATATAGATTTAACTATCAAAAATATTCATTTGATTATTAAATTGGATCTAATTGGATATGGATAAATCCAATCCATATCTGACCATTTATAGCCCTACACACATAATTCTTGTTAATTTGCTAACAAGTGGTGTTACAGCTTAATGTTTGATTTGTTTGAGGTCTTGATTTCTTATAATGATAACCATGAAGTACGATATTTTGCTTTTGGATCACAATACTAGATTTTCGCTATGGCGGATGATGTGAGTTGTGCTCCCTCAAACGCATTTGGATGATGCTTTGTGGGATTTGAGCGTAAATTGGTCGTTGAAGGGGAAACAGCGCAAGGATCGAAAGAATTTTTAACAAATGGTGCATCTTGATTTACATAACCAAAAAAAAAAAATTGTAGTAAATGGTATTTCTTGGGCTTGAAATGTGTTAAGGTATTTTCCTGATTAAAGATTGAAAAATACTCTTTGGGAAGTACATGGTTTGTCAGCTATGTATGTTAGTCTATGGAGAAACAGACGTCGAGCTCATTTTTTTATCCCTTTCTTAGTTTCATAACCAAAAACAAGCCCTTATTAATATCAAGAATGTCTTAAGTGAGTGAAACGTTGGTAATCTGGATATTTAATTATATCAGCAAGAACAACTTATAAATTGCTGTTGAAATTCTTTTGAAGGCAACCTTTTGCATGACCAAATCACTTTATAATTCTGAGTAGTTTTGAGATGTTACCTATTTGATGCAATCTATTTGCTTATTGTACACTATTCAATTTTTATAGTACGGACTCTAGTGTTGTGGTTGTCGAGGAGGGTCCCTCGTATGCCAAGGATAAAGTTGAAAAAGAAGAAAGGGTGGTGACAAAGAAATGACCCTAAACAAATACCATCAATGTCCAACTAGACTCCCTACTCTAGGAGTGGTCGAAAGAGAGGAAAGAACAGTAGACAATAAGACGTGATTGAATGGGAAAATAATGTGAACCTTTTTGAACTTATAATATGTCGTATTATATAGGTTTTTAGGTTGATGTCTAGTATTTTGATTTATGGAGAAAACAGTTATGTCCATTTCAAGATTTGTGTAGTTTATTTTAATTTGCGAAAATACAGTTTTTTTAGTAGATAGCATTTCATGAGCAAATTACGTAACATGTAGCAGGCCGAACCGTCAAGAATAACAATGCGAAACTCTCGATACCTACAGTTCAACAGTCTGGAGTGAATTTTATGTATTATTTTTCGAAATGTAGTTAAGTTGTTTTCTAAACAATTTTATCGAGACCTACATTTCAGCTGTTTGGACTAAATGTTATGTATTGTTTTTGAAATATAGTTAAATGGTTTTCTAAATAATTTTATGTTCATGTGTAGTTTAGGATTTCCAAGAAACATGTTTATGTGCATTGTATGATGTGTGTCGTTTATGTTCATGTGTGAATTGTTATGTTATCTTTATATGATATCATGTTTATGTAAACCGTTATGTTTTGTTGAAGTGTATCGTCATCTTTGAAACTTTTTTTTGTTTGATCATTCATTTTGTTGAATTGGTGTGGTATATTACACAAGCCAAAACATAGAGAAATTAAGAGAAAAAATTTCGAGACCTACAATTCAATTTCTCTGTACTGAAAGATATGTAAAGTTTTCAAAAAGTATTGGAATGGTTTTTATTAAATGTGCAACGATAATAACATAAACATCTACATGTACAAATTATTCCACATACAACATGATGAATCTCAAATGTCACTCATACCTGAAATCAAGCAAATGAAATGGTAAGCATTTTGCACAAATTGAATACATTATAGTTTAAATGCATACATGAGATACATACGAATAAATCTATTGAACAGTTGCAAACTAGTTTAACTGGAGTTACAATATCTATCCCGATAGTTAAGAAATGTTGAGATTGACATTTGAACTGTCTGTCTTGATGATTATCATCTTATGAGATTGCAATTTGAACTATCTTTCGACAGTTAGCATCTGCAAGATGACATTTATGGTGTATGATAGGAAAGCTTTGATAAGTGTATTTTTATACATTTGTCTAGGCCATTAAATTAGGATATTCATTAGTTATTTGAATGAGTTTTAGCCTAATTTTCTGTTAATTATATTTGTTAGGTTGAAATTAATGCACGTTGATAGATTTGGAAGAAATGAACGAAAAAGTGTGAAAACAAAGGAATTCCAAAGTTTGGGGATGAAAGTGTAAATATTCAATAGTTGATTTGGACCACAAAACTATGATTGAAGATCATATGACATCAATTGGATGCAATTGGAGGCCAAAGAAATGAAATACAGTTGAAGCAATTTCACAAATTAATTTCCAGCCGAAGAAGTTCCGTTCCAAATTTTTAGTCTTAAATTAAAACCCATTTTTCGGATAGAAAACATTTGAATTGGAGACCGAAAATTTGATTCTAGATTGATTCAGTTTATTTTATATAACATCTATTACAAATAATAATTTTCATATGAACAAATTTATATATGTGAATTTTGTTTTATCAAATTCTGGATTTAAATTTTTTTAATTAATTTAGTTAATGTATTTTATCTATCAAACTTCATCATTAAAAATATAAACATGTATATATTAATTTATCGTACATGTACTTCGTATGTTGCGATATTGAATATACAAGTAGGAAAATATGTTCAACTAAATATATAACTGTTTATTATATGCATATGATCATAACTATATAAATTTTTTGTTATATAAATATATAATATATATATTTAAAAAAAAGTTATAATGAGTTTTAGTGGACACGGTAGTGTTTCACGAAAAAAATAATCGAATACTTTTAATATTGATTTTTCGTTGTCTTGTGTATTGTCCACTTTAGGAAAACTTATCCATTTTACTCCTTACGAATTTTCTGTCGCGTCTCCCGTGATTTAAACCCTTGACCTCTACTTATGAGAGATTTAAATTGAATCTTAACATCAGTTCTAGGTTAGCCAAACAAACTCGAGATTTTACCTACTAACGCGCTAGTCCACTATGACGAATTCGAGATATCATCCAGAGTTCGATATTTTGTGTTGAGTTGCAAATCTTGAATCTTTTCTTCAACATGTCAAATTTTAAATTTTCATGAGAAGATGCCAATTAGTGTCTTGACCAATTTATCTTTGGACAAATAGCACGAGGACTGCTTGCGACCATTTGAGGGGAGCAAATACACGAAATGGGGTACCCATATTGTTAATACCCTTTATTTGAATTTTGTTATTAGATTCCCTTTATGCATCTTCACTTTTTATATGAATTTCGCGTAATGATAAGTTAATAGAACATGTATGATTTATATTTGTGAAAGAACATTTATTTGTGAAGAAGTAGTCCATTATCTTGGAAATAATGAGCTAAGCTAGTCTTTGCAGTGAATCCTCCTGTTAAGTAGTCATGCATTATGATAGGAACTCCCAATTCTCTAGCAATTACAGCTCTTTTGATCATTTCTTCGCATGTACCCGCAGTAGCATTCAAGTAATGCCCTTTGATTTCACCTGTTTCGGTCTGTGCTTTATAAAGTGTTTCGGCACAAAATAAGAAACGATCTCTCCAACGCATAAATAGCTGGGAGTTCACGTTCTCATCATCTTTGGTAAAATCAAGTCAAAAATAAGATTTTATTGGATTTATATTTCTCGAATTGCCCTTGCAATTGAAAAACCTCGAAATAAATTATGCAAAATTTATCAATGTCGTATACACAAATTCTTGATAGAAAATCAACATTTTTAATGAGCTCCAAATCTTGAGCCCCAAATTCACCCAATTATCTAGGATTTTTAAGATTTCATACCCAAAAAATAAATAAATAAATAAATAAATAAATATATATATATATATAT